TGTATTTAAAAAAAATAAGTTTCTTTCCCTTTTCTCTTTTGGAATGTTACTTAAAAATCTTTTAAAAATATATTACTTTTCTTAGAATTTATGCTTGTAAGGATCAGTATATGCATCAATATTTGCAATGTACCTATATTTTTATGATTTCCTTTTTTCAGTAGTAGCTCTGACTTATCTTCATTTGCATGGAAGCACATACAGTATATAGTGCGTTGATACTTTGTAAGATGGTGATTTGCATGCCAGCATGTTGCAGTTTTTTTAAAGGATTGCTTTATTTTGTTACTACCATATCAAACCTGAGAACTTTTAACTTCATTCTGTTCTGGGGAATGGGAATCACATTTTTGCTGTGCTTGTATTGTTCTAACTTTCACGTGAATGGTTAATGCAACTTGATGTTTGTTTCCTTGGGCTTTACTTTTTTCTTTTTTTCACAAATTGATTTATTTGACTGCAATATTATTTGTTGTAGTTCTTTGTTTTTCTAGTCTCAAAGTTCTTGTTTTACTATTTATGTAAACTGGTTTCAAAATGTTTATTTTCTCTTTCTTTCAGTGGACTGTCCACATCCCAACTGCACAGGTCATGGTTACTGCACATCTGAAGGAATTTGTCTCTGCAAACGTGGTTGGAAGGGGGCTGATTGTTCTGTTACTGACAGTGATGCTCTTCAATGCCTTCCAAACTGCTCCGGTCATGGCTCTTTTGACTTAGAAACACAGACTTGTACTTGTGAACGAATGTGGTCAGGAGATGACTGTTCGAAAGGTACTGAAAGAATGATTTCCTATTGAACACTTCACTTTTAGAAACATTGTCATTATTGTCTCTTGAATTTCTATGTAACACTCTCACTGTTATTGTTGTTATTATTATTTATATTATTTTTTTGCAGAATTGTGTGATAAGGACTGTGGACCACATGGTCACTGTATGCGATTCTGGATGGTCAGGAGAATATTGTATGCTTAAACAGTGTGATCAGAGGTAATGATAAAATCATTTGGAAATGAAGCTTGTTTAAGTAACTTGTTCAACATTTAATTTACATGTTTTCTTTTTACCTATTCATTTTAGGTGCAATGAACATGGTCAATGTAAAAATGGAACTTGCCTCTGTGTCACTGGCTGGAATGGTAAGCACTGTACGATGGAAGGCTGTCCAAAAGGTTGCACTGGTCATGGCCAATGTCGAGTCAATGGAGAGGGCTTATGGGAATGTCGTTGCTATGAAGGCTGGGATGGGAAAGACTGCAGTGTACCTCTTGAGCAAAGTTGTTCTGACCAGCGAGATAATGATAAAGGTATGATTTACTTTTCATGTCATTCATAAAAAATGTTATTATATATATTCCAACTTATTCATAAATTTTATCACAATATCATGTTATTTCTTTGCAGACAATCTTATAGATTGTCAAGATCCTGAATGTTGTACGAACCCTCAGTGCAGGTCGTCTCAGTTATGTATTACTTCCCCTAAACCAATTGACATTTTGCTTCGGAAACAACCTCTAGCCATTACAGCATCATTCTTTGAACGCATGAAGTTTCTTATTGAGGAAGGGAGTTTACAGCGATATGCCAAGCAAGAGGCCTTAAATGAAAGGTAAACTTAAGTCTTTTTCTAAGATCTTTTTTGTAATATTTAAGTATTCTGAAATTGAATATTAACCCCTCCAAATTAAGAGAATGAATTTGAAAGCAATATAGATATGTCAAGGTTCATGTGAGAGTCAACAATTTCACCTCTGCCTGGCAGCAATTTCATGGTTTTAATCATAAATATCTCCATAATTTCCTATGGTTTAATTTGACATTCAATATCAGAAATGTACATGGAATTAACAACTTATTACCAGCTTTTATTCTCTCAACCTTAGGCTAGTCTAAGCTGACATACAAAGGGTCAAATTATAACAAAGTGACAGCAAGCAACTTTTACTGGCTTTTTACATAAACAATTTTCTTTTGTGAATTAAATTACATATATAATATTTGAGAGGTGTGTCCATTCTATTATTACTAGAAGGCCTCAATTCGATAAAATTACATAATTTTTCTCAAAAAATTTGAACTTCTATGCTACTATATTTTAAATTATTTATTCTTTGCAACAAGAGTTTAGAGAGCCAAGCAATATTTTGGACATAAAAAGAATATCACAGATTGAAAGAACACAAATAACAAAATTCTACGTTGCTGTTGAGAACTTGCCCGATATATTCAAGTCAAGCCTCGAACGTTTATACTCGTTGCTCACCACCACTCTATAACCATATCCATTACATATGTAGTTACCGGTATAATCTATCAGTTTCATTTCACTTTTATGTTTGGCCACTCCATGTATGTGTTCCATGTATCTGTCCTGTGTCTGTCCATGTGTTGCATTTATGTGCCCAATGTGTTGTCTGTTGTTTGTGTCCTAGTGCACTCAGTTCTCCTTTCTGGTTTTCTCTTCCTATCCAAAATTAAATTTGGGGAGGGTAACAAAATAATGTGCTAATAACAAACTTGCCTGTAAGGCTCCTAAAAAAGTTTGTTTAAAATATAATTTTTGATAACTGGATGGATAGTCATTATTTCAAACTCTATTAATGTGTACTTATTGGGATGAAATTTTATTTTCAACATCTTTTACATTCATCCTTAAATATCTGCTTCTGTTTTTTATTTCTTAATTTTTAACCTTACAACTTTTCCTTCCCTTCCTGTGGCTGCGCCTTCAGTGTGTTTTGGAATCACTTCAATATGAGGTAAGGGTGCACTGGGGGTCTTATATTATGACCCTATACACCCTTGAGTTCAAGTAGATGTATCCCTTTTGTGTTTTAATTTTATGTGTGACTTCTGTTTTGTTTTATTTTTTCTTGTCAGTATGTTGTGTTTTGTGTTGTGTTGTGTTGTGTTGTGTTTGTCCTGTTTGATACCCTTTACTTCTGGTGCTTTTTCTTGGTTTCTCTTAGTTCTTCATTTTCTGTTTCCTGTAAGTTCACATGAGT